TTTTTTTGGGGGGTGGAAGGAGTGTCTTGTGTCATGAATAAACACTTGTACAATTCCTTGGAGATGAGCATGACTGAATCTTTCTTGTATAATTCAAGAAATTGCAAGGTCTCAGAATCTTCATTTTCAATTTAACACTATTATATTAAAATTATATAATTATATTTTATATATAATTTTATATTATAAGATTATTTTATTATAATTATAAATTATAAAATAAGTTAATACTTAATTCAAAACTAACCAACGAGCACATTTATTAAGGGATGAACTATGGTATTTGGCACTGTACTAGGAGTTGGAAATAAGAAGACAAAAAACGAAAATCCCTGCTTCCAAGTAACTTATACTACTGAACATCACTTTGAAATCCATGATTGCTGTATAAAAGTAGAGATGTAAAAGTTGTGGGGGACTTGGTTAAATTGATGCCGAACTCGGAAGATACTGTACAAAGTGTGTGTGTGTGTGTGTTTGTTTAAGTTCATGTCACCGTTTCTTCTTATCAATGGTCTTTTTCTGCTAAGCTGAATGGACAAAAATAATTCAGTGACTTGGCTTCTGGTTGGTTGGGGACTGGTTAATAGAAGTTTTACTCTTGTGGAATATAGCAAGTATAGTGGATAGAGCGATGGATGTGGGTCAGGAAGATTAGGGTTCAAATCCCACCTCAGACACACACTATGTGACTCCGGGCAGGTCACTTAACCTTGATGAGCCTTAATTTCCACATCTCTAAAATGGGATATATAGCAGCCACCTCACAGGGTTACTGTGAGGATCAAATGAAATTACATATGTAAAGTGCTCTGCAAACCTGCCAGTACCACCTAAAGGAGCTGTTACTATGGGATGGCAGTGTTCAGGTGTGATTAGGGGAGAGCAGCATGATGAACCGGAAAGACCGCTGTACTTGCCTGCAGGCAGAAGACCCAAGTCTCTATGTGACTTTGGCCAACTCAAGTGACCCCTGAGATTCTCAGCTCCCTCATCTGTCAGATGGGAGTGATGGACAAGATGACTTCTTAGATCTTTTCCAGATCAAACTTTTTTATGATTCAATGGGAGGGGACACAGCAAAGTGGTCCTATCTATTATTTCTCGTGGGGTAGCTGAGAGTGCGTAGAGTTAAGAGCCACAGAACCTGGGTTCCTCTCTAGGCTCTGCAACATGAACCATATGATGGAGGACTAAACAATTTCTTCAGACTCCAGTAACTTAAGAAGACCTCCTGAAGGAGGAATTATGTGCTTGAGGAAGGGGGATCACAGCTGTTCCCGAGGAAGAGAAAGCAAGAAGCCCAATGACGTGATGGCTTTATTAATTAATATTACACAATGTTAATTCTTAGAATTCACTCAGCACTTCCCCGTCCCCAGCACCCTCCTTGCTCTGGCACAGTGCACAAAACAACCCATGGGCTGGTGCTTTTGTACTCACTCAGGGGCTTTCCTCCTGACGCAATCTCTGCTGTAATACACTGCCCCTGTTCTCCTCCAACAGCCAGAGCACCTCAACTCTTCCCAGCCATGTGTGGAGACAGACAGCACACTTTGCCTGGACAAGCTCTTAGGTGAGAGAACCCGAAAGTAGCAGAAACTCTGCCCTGAACATCCACTCTCCTCTCTCCTCAACCTTAAAAAGGGGACGCAGTCTGCTAAGAAAACTAAAGAACAGAGAACTCTGGGGCAGGGAACCAGAACATGGGGACACACCAGGCCTGAAGGAAAGAGCACTGGCGTCCATTTGGGCCCAGTCCTGCCTTCCCTGAAGGTACTCGGGGGAAGGTCTGAGCCTGGCGAAAAGTAAATTCCCCAATGTAGGAGGAGGCTGAGACAGTTTTGAGTTCATCCCTGGGGGTAAACCTAACATTAAAGGGGAAGAAGTCAGGAAATTAGTGACAGGGAAATAAATGAAAGAAAGAACAAAACTATCAAATATTTTAGGAGGGAGAACATTCAAAATGAGCAGATAAACTAATAAGGGAGATACTAAAATTAGCAGATGACCATCAAGACAACTATGAGACTGCAAATGTCTCTAAATAAACGTTGTAACACAAAGGAAACTGAGCCAACACCGATAAAATACAGAACCCTGTGGACTCCCAAGAGAGAACGGAACTACAGTAGGATGTTCCAGAGTGGTCCAAGTGAGAAATCAGAATTTTGAGAGAAGCAAGAAGGGAACAAATGGGGGCATTTATGACTTACACAGCAGAAATAATTAGCAGAACAGAGAAACTTGAATCCACAGGGGTAAGACTTTCCAAAGAAGCAAAAAAGGAGAACAGACTGGGAATACAAATATTCTGAAGTGAAGGACAATCTAGAAGAAGAAAAGCAAAAACAATAAAAGAACATACGATCTCTATACAAGCAAAACACACTGATCTTGAAGATATGACACACAGAGACAACGTAAGGCCTTAGGATCATAGGGCTCCCATCAGAACATGACAAGTAAAAAATGTGACCACTACAGTGCAAGAAATCATGCAGGAAAACTGCTCAGAATTTCTGAATACAGAAGAATGTACACATCTCCTTCAGAAAACAAAGACACTATGCTTCAAATTGGTTAATTTAATAATTCTGATGACAAAAAATAACTTTGCAAGCAACCAGGGGAAAGACCTTCATATTTAAAGGAAAAGATTACAATATCACAAAGACTATTCTGCACCCACCAGCAACCACGGATGGAAACAGAATAGTATATTCTGAAAAAAAGCTTAAGATGCAATCCAAAATAGCACAACCTGCAAACTTGAACCCAATCGTCTCTGAAAAAAGATGGACGCTCGCTGCTGCAAATCTAGGCTCTGCTGCTTATCACCTGCATTGCCATGGTTGTTGTGGTCATCGTGGTTTGTCCTTTGCTCTCAAAGAGGACCATCATCAGGAAGACGATGCCATAACTTGCAAGTGACGTTGGCTGTGCAAAGTCACCAGCCTCGCTTTCTCCTCCAGAGCCATCTGAATCAAGTGGCCAGACAGAGATCAGGACAACACCTAGGTTCTACTCCCCGTGGAGATTACTGACCCTAATTCAGGCCGATTCACTCTGCTGAGGGTATGAGATTTCAGAGCTAGAAGGGAATCTTGACCACCTCCCCACTCCCCACCTTCCCCAGATGGAGAAACAGAGGCCCAGAGAGGCTGCCTTGTCTGTCTATCTTAAACTTGATTCCATATCACCAACTGCCTATTGGACATCTCCCATTCAATATGCCCAAATCAGAACTCATTATCCCCTCTCCTAACCAACCCCAACTTGAAACTGCCCCATTAGAATCTTAGAGACATAGATTAACGTTGTAACCGTCATCTTATACGTCATCTGGGCCAATCCTTCTCCTTTTACATAGAAGTAGAACATTAAATGACCTGCCTAAAGATCTAAAGTAGTAGTAAGTAGGAAATCCAGGATTTGAACCCAAGTCTTCTTACTACAAATCTAGAACCACTGCACCAGTCAGTATTCTTCCCTCCCATGCTTCTAGTCATCCAGGTTTGAAATCTTGGAGTCAACTTTGACTTTTCCCTCTTCTTCATGCTCCCTCCCCCCCAACTCCCAGCATATCTAATCAGCTACCAAGTCTTATCAACTCAGCCTCCATAAGTGACCTCCCAGGCATTCCTTCTCTCCACTTACCCTGCTGCAGCTACTGACTCGGCCCCCTAACTGGACCCTCAGCTTCTCATCTTTCCCTTCATTAATTTATCTTTGATTCTGCTGCTAAAATACTCTTCCTACAGCAATACTCTGACTATGTGCCCCCACCTCTCAGGAGTCTTTGGTGGGCCATTATGGGATCACAGGCATAGAGATGGGAAAGACCTCACTTTATAGTCCAGTGCCCTCACTTTATGGAGAGGAAAGTGAGACCCCAGGAGCTTAGGCACCTGCTCAAGGTCACGCTGATTTGAACGCAGGCCCTCTGATCCCAAATGCATTATTCTCCCCACTGTGACCTCATCTCCTCTAAATAAAATGCAAGCTCCTCAGCTAGACACTTTACAGTCTAGCTCCCATTGGCCTTTCAAGGACTATCATACACTACTGCCCTCCCTGCGTTCCTGTAAATAATTATTGTCCAGTCACTTAACTCAGTCGTGTCTGACTCTTTGTGACCCCATTTGGGGTTTTCTTGGCAAAGATACTGAAATGACTTGCCATTTCCTTCTCTGGCGCATTGTACAGATGAGGAAACGAAGTCAAATAGCATTAAGTGACTCACTCAGGGTCACACAGCTAGCAAGTGTCTGAGTCTAGATTTGAACTCAGGAGGATGAGTCTTCCTGACTCCAGGCTCAGTGCTCTTTGCACTATGGCACCACCCAGCCGTCCAAATGCCAAATTACTGTTTCTGAAACACAGCCCTCTATTTCCCACCCGTCAGTGCCTTTGCAGAGGATGTCCCCATGGCTCTTCTCCACATCTCAGAATCCCTAGCTTCCTCTGGCTTTAGCATCCCCAGCTGTGGGTGCTCTTTCCCTCCTCCAATGATCCTATACATGCTGATCTCTCTGCCTCCTCTAACCTCCTTTCCTTCCCCATCTCTGCCTCTCGGCTTCCCACAGACCCAGCTCAAATTTCACCTTCTACAGGAGCTCTTCCCTGTCACTCCATCTCGTGCTAATGCCTCCCCTCTGAGCCTACCCACCACTTGCATCGTACACATCTAACATCTATCTACAGTTATTTACAGGTTTTCTCATCCATCAGATTTTGAGCTTCTTGAGGGCAGGGGCCATGCTGTTGCCTTTCTTTCTGTCCCTAGCACACAACTGGTTCATAAATGCTTGTCAACTGATATTTTCACACACATTATGTGGTTTCACCAGCCATGCTGTGAAGTAGGTATGGCTATTATTACCACCTACTCTATTGTTTACCAAGACCACCCCACTATTTTACAGCTGAGGAAACTGAAGTTCAAAAAGGGTTAATTAACTTGGGCAGGGAGCCAGAGGCTCAGTCCTGATTAAGTCTGGTTTATCTGGATCCAGATTGGTTGTGGACAGACAAGTGGGAGGGGTAAGTACCTTCAAGCTCCATGGCCAACCCAAGGCTTCTAGCATAAAAGGAAACCTGCCAGAAGCCAAGAGAGATCACATCGACTGAGGTACAAATGCAGCATGAGCTCACCTCTGATGACAAACTGACTGAACATTAGCACCGAGGAAGATTCTGGTGAGTTACTTTTTTCTGTTTCTACAGCAAGGAAGTAGGATGGAAAGCGAGGTGCAATCTCCCCTGTCTATCCTCTCACTATGGAGGCTGTTCCGTATTCCTTTCTGCCTCCCTTTTTCCGAACGCTCTAGAACAGTCACTCAAAATTTAATAGGAGTAAAAAGACAAAAATAAAACATTGCTTGTCCTCAATGAACTTAACATTCTAATGGAGGTAAAAAGTGGGGATACAATAAATATGTAAACAGATTATGTTATAATAAGATAATCTGAGGACAAAGCATTAACATCTAGGGTAGGTGGGGTCAATCTGCAGGTCCAAGAACTTGTTTTTGTCCAAGAACTTTTTTTTCTTAAATTTCTGATAATTATACTTTAGGATAATTGGCTTCCTTTGTAACCCTATGATTTTTTTTTTGATGCAGTTAAAAATATTACCCTGCGAAGGGGTCCATAGGCTTCATTAGACACCCAAGGAGATTTACATTACACAGAAAAGGTTAAGCACCCCTGAGCTAGGGACGTCAAGAACAGAGTCACATAAAAGAAGAGCCCCTGGGCTGACTCTTGAAGGATTAAAGATTCTGAGAGGTGGAGATGAAGGGGCAGTTTAATCTAGTTATGGGGGGCAGCTTATGCAAAGGCATGGAGGAAGGACACAGAAAGAGCTGACAAATTAAACCAGTACCAGTGAGGAAAAGAGGAGACTGTGGTAAGATTGGAATAAGCACCATTCTTAAACCTGGTCATTTTACTATGATTTTCTAAGACACCAGCCATAATTGGAAGGTCTTTCTGATTACTGAGCTGAAGCACTGAATTTTTTGGATCAATTTCTCAGGTGAGGCAGGTACATACACAAACTTGAGGGAAAGGTGGGGGGAGTCAGTGGTGGATCCGCACAGGACAATTAGAATGACTATGAAGTAAGCGCGAATTCAAATGGTGCCAGTGTATGGAAAGATTTAATCATCAAATGAAAGAAAACTCTGCAAGAGTGAGCTAAATGACAACAGTGTCCTAAGTTTTGCTTTTAGAAGGGGGCTCATGCCATCACTACCGAAAAAAGGAAAATTAATCTTCTGTTCCTTTCCAAAACAACATACACTATCCCATGTCATTTGGCACTACAAAATGCTACTTGTGACTAAGAAAAAAAAAAGAGACATCTAGCCCGACTCAGACCTTCTGTTATTAAATATTTCATATTCTTTTGCCAATGAGTTGCGCTATTCCAATATGCTTAGCTGAACATAAAATACTAAAGACAAGGTTCTTCCCATGACAGAGAAAGTTCACAGTAGCACTAATGATAATAGCTTGCCTTCATATGATACTTCATAGTTATGTACGTCATCTCAACTAACAGTCCCCCAAACTGTGGGACATGGATAGGGAAAGTTCTATCACATCTTCTTTCTCTTTCTCTCTCTTTCTTACTTTCTTTCCTCCTTTTTTCTCTTTCCTTTTTCCTTCTTTCTCTTTCATTTTTTTCTTTCTTCCATTTCTTTCTTTTTTCCCTTTTCTCTCTTTCCTTCTTTCTCTTTCTTTCATTTTTTCTTTCTTTCTTCCTTCTATTTTTTCTCTTTCTTTCTTCCTTTTTTCTTTTCTTCCTTTCTTCCTTTCTTTCAGAGATGGGAAAACTGAGTCTTAAGAGGGGTAAAGTGACTTGACCATGGTCACATAGTTATAAGAGGTTAAGCTAGGACTCACACTCAGGTGTTTGGACTCCAGACACAGTGGTAAAAACTAGGTGTGAAATCAGAAGCTTGAGTTCAGACACTTAGTAGCTGTGTGACTATGGGTATATAACATCTCTAAGCCTCGGTTTCCTAGTCTGGAAAATGGGAATAATTGTATTAATAGTACTGATTTCTCATGGGCTATCATGAGGAAAGTACTTGGAAAACTTGAAAGTATCATAAAAATATAAGCACTTGGAATTGTTCCTCCAGAGCCATCTCACTAAGTGCCTGGTACAGATTGGGAGTTTAATAAATGCTGCTTGTTTGACTGATTGAAATTTAGGATTTAAAATATCAGATACTGTGTCTGGTCAGTATAGAGTCTCATAAACTAATAAAAATGAAACGCAACAACAGAGTAGATTAGAAGGAGGTGTGGCTTACAAAACCCTCATTTAGCCAGTCAATATTTTGAGAAACCCATCAATTTTGAGAAAACCAATCAATATTTTGAGAGAAGTTGAGATAAAGACACTTGCTACTATAAGGATCCTACTGGATAGAATGGAAAGAGACCTGAGCTAGGAGTTGGGAAACATAGGTTTGAGGCCTCACTCAGTTTGATTCTGGGCGAACCAAATGACTCTTCTGGATCCCCGTCTTTGTATCTGATCACTCGGGCGCTTCGTGGCTCTAATATACCACAACGCTAGGATCCAAACGCCAAAAAGGCATCACACAAAGCGGGTCCTCACTTGCTGCCCTTGTCACAGCAGTTCAACAGAACAAGAGCTGTCCTTGGTGCAAGAAGGGGATGTCCCTGCTACCGGACTCTTCCTTGCCAGAATATTCGGAATCGACAGATTTTGCACAAAGCTACTATTATACAATGAGCATGAGTGAAAGAAAAGGGGAAGTAAGGAATAAGCACTTATTAAGCGCCTACGATGTGCTAAGCATTTTACAAATATTATCTCATTTGATCCTCACAATGAACCTGGGAGGTGGGTGATGTTCTTATCCCCATTTTACAGCTGAGGAGACTGAAATAGACAGAGGTTAAGTGTCTTGCCCAGGGTCACACAGCTAATAAGCGTCTGAGGCTGAATAAGAATTCAGGACTTCCTGACTTCAAGCCCAACACTCTAGAGAGGAATTAGGAAGCCAGAATGTAGGAAGAGCTCTCGGCAAAACGGTGAAGTAGGCAACATTTGGTCTTTGATGTCCTCCCACCACGTCTTTCACTGCCTTTTGGTCCCCCTCCCATCCCAATGGCCTATTCTGGGTCCCATTTCCATAGTACCATATAATCTGTTAAATAAATCCCAGTGCTATGCACAGTACCTAGCACAAAGCAGATGCTTAATGAATGTTTATCAATTGACTGATAAATCCTCTCAACTTTGGGTTGATAAAGGCTTAAGGTATTACCCCTGGGAATATTTCGGTTTCAATAGAGGGAGCTTGAAGACAAAAATCTTCAAGATCTAAGAATTTAGTCTCTAATGGTGGAATTCCAGGTACTATGTCAGATAATATGTATGACATTTTGGGTTGGGGGAGAATCCTAATACCCCTCAAATCATACCAGATAGGTGTTCTAATCTTCACTCAGCTGCTGGGCATTTTGTGACCATGGGCACCTCTGTGCCTCAGTGTCCACATCTATAATTTGAACCCTTAATTCTACTTAATTGCCCTCAAATTAAATCAAATATACCCTTAATTACCCTTAACTCCATTTAAAAAAACAAACACTTTCAACAATATTCATGAATTCTCTTCAAACTATAAAGTTTGTATTGGGCCTGCCCACATTTGTCAGAGCTGATATAGAATGTCCCTGAACTATGAATTTGGGGTAGAAAGGTCAAGTGAACAGAGGTATTCGAGTAGCAGCATGTCTGCCAGAAATGTTCTCATATGATGGGCTGAGCCCATGCTAATTGGTGAATTTAGAGCACCAGGTGAAGCAGGGTAAATCAAGTTAGATAAAAGCTCACAAAATCTTTATTTGGAAAAGTTGTTACTGAGTGGCTTCATACATGTTATGGATACCGAGTATCTGGGTGATCACGATGAATCCACAGTCCCCATTTGGCTTTTCGGGCTTGGATAGGAAGTAGGATAATGAACATAACAGAATTTCTGGGAGATGGGTGGGGGATGGGAACTGTGTTGCTCCAAGATGTATGAGGAAAATTCTTGTCTAATTTCAGGTGTTGCTACAAAGAGAGACATGGAAGACTATGAATACAATCCCGATGTCTGGACATCGTTAGAGAATATCAGCAAGGAGGAGCATGAGAATTTCCTGAAGTTCAGCAAGATCTTCCTACCCATCACATACTTGCTGGTGTTTTCCTTTGGGTTGGTGGGGAACTGTCTGGTGCTGGCAGTCTATATTTTTTGCCAGAAGGCCAAGAGTCTGACTGACCAACTTCTTCTGAACTTACCTATAGGGGACTTGCTGTTTATTTGTACTCTGCCATTCTGGGCTTATGCCACCATTCATGAGTGGGTCTTTGGGCAAGTCACGTGCAAGATTGTGCTGGGGATGTACACCTTAAATTTCTACACATCCATGCTGTTCCTCACCTGCATCACCATTGACCGCTTTGTTGCAGTAGTTCAGGCCACCAAGACCCACAACTATCAAGCCAAAAGGATGACTATAAGAAAGATTCTCTATGTCACCATTTGGGTAGTCTCTCTATTGGTTTCCATCCCGCAGTTCAAGTTTGCCAGGGTTTCTCAAAATAACAAACAGGTCTGTCACAATGAAGAGGAAGAAATTTCTACTGTGGTCCTTGCCATCCAAATGACAATTGGGTTCTTCCTGCCTCTAACAGCCATGATCATCTGCTACTCAGTCATTATTAAGACCTTGATACATGCCAAAGGGTTCCAGAAGCACAAGTCTTTAAAGATTATCTTTTTAGTCGTGGCAGTGTTTGTCATGACCCAACTGCCTTTCAATCTCATTAAGCTTATCCGCACCACGAGTTGGGAGTATGACACAGACCCCCACTTCCACTATGCCCTAGTGATAACAGAGGCCATTGCTTACCTACGGGCCTGCCTCAACCCTGTGCTGTATGCCTTTGTTGGGGTGAAATTCAGAAAGAACTTTTGGAAACTCATGAAGGCCCTCAAGTGCCCCTATGCTGCAGGGAAAATAAGCCAGTATCAGGCCAGCGATGAAGCCTCTAAAAGTTTCGTTGCTTCCAACAATGCTCAGGCCACCAGCATGTACCAGCTGTAGCACGTGTCCACGATTCAGACACATAAACAAGCATCTATTAAGTGCCTACTATGTATGTGCCAGACACCGTGCTGAATGCAATTATGGGAATTATTCTGGCAGCTTACAAGACAATGACTTGAGTGGGATTCTTGCTTGTAAACTCTGGATTATCACCAACAAGTGAGTAAGCACCATTTTGCTGGGTATCAAGGACATTTCTATCATAACAGATCTTGGGCTAACCTGATTCCTTCCTTGAACATGAGCTGTTGCCCAAACCTAAGCTCAGTGATCATAAAAACCAAAATATAGCAAGGACATTCCCCCAGCTCCATGTGCTTTGTGAACTGAGAAGCAATGGGTAAAATGAATGAACAGGTAAAACTATTCAAATCCCCCCAGCATCACTGCTTTCTTCAAGACCAGCCTTTGGGAACTGGATGAAACAGATAAAATGTCACCAGTAAAACTATGGACTCCATGGTTTAGGAGATGGCATGTAAAGCACAGACCATGAAAATGAAGAGTGGTCCAGGTCTCTGGGAATGAAAGGAAACGAGAGGATAACTAAGAGACATCAGACCGGAGGCCTAAAAACGGACATCTTCTTGTCTCCCTTTATGTGCTGCCCTTACCGGCCCCCTGTTATTCCATTTCCATGCTCCCAGGAGTCAGTCTGCTACAGGAAGGAGAGACCTCGGTTCTCTTAGCAGTGGAGTGATGGGCTCTGATATATGTGGGGAAGTCCAAGACCAACTTTATAGTTTGAAGAGAATTCATGCATATTGTTGAAAGTGTATTGTTTGTTTGTTGTTCACTGGACTTAAGGGTAATTTGTGAACCTGCTATATTTCTTATACATAAAATTAGATTACAAATGCTTATTCTAGGTATGTGAAAAGCACCTTTTCATTATTATGGCCAGATCATAATAAAAGGTTGTTGTGTTTTGTTTCTTAACTATAACTACTGATTTCTTCATAAATCTTTTACTCTTTATTTTTGCCCAGAGCAACTGAAACGTCCTGGAAAAAGGTGATTTTTGGTGTTTTTCGAAGGTTTTGTAGCTCAGTCTACAGGAGACTTAGATACTACTGAAATTGAAGTTGTGCCTGCCTTAGGAAAATCACTCGGCTGCCATGATGTCAGAACCCCTGCATGTTACTGAATGAAATGAGGGCATTTGCTTAATCTTTAGAATGAGAAAACTGGCTGAAGTGTGTCTTTAAATGGCGTATTTCAAACTTATTCATTAAATTATAAAAACATACATTTACTGGCTTATACATGTCTCAGTACATAGATATATTGATAGCATTTATATATAATCCTTTAAGGTTTGCAAAGCATTTTACAAATATCTCAGTTTATCCTCACAACAGCCCTGCAACATAGGTGCTGTTACACTGTGTGATGACTGACTATGTTGGACTTAGCATTTTTCAGCAATGCAATGATCTGAGACAATTCCAAAAGACTTACGATAGAAAATGCCATCCACATCCAGAGAAAGAACTATGGAGTCCGAATGTAGGTCAAAGCATACTATTTGTTCTTTCTTTTGTTGTTTTTTGTTTTTATTTCTCATTGTTTTTCCCTTTTGTTCTGATTCTTCTTTCACAATATGACTAATGTGGAAATATGCTTAATAGGATCATACCTGTATAGCCTATATCAGATTGCATGCTGTCTTGAGGGGAGGGGGGGAATTAAAAACTCAAAATCTTATAAAAGTGAATGTTGAAAACTAAAAATAAAAAAATAATTAAAAAGATGCTATTATTATCCCCATTTTACTGATGAGAGAACTGAGGCACTTGCCCAGGGTCACACAGCCTACGTATATGTCATAGGTGAGAGGCACTAAAGACATCAACCGGTCCATTAAAGAATTAGACTCAATTAGCATATGATGTGTTTCCCTACTTTCCCACAATCCCAAATATTTCTTCCCACCTCTTCAAACATCTCTCAGTGATGAGAAAGGCCCATACACAGAGCCCTGCAAACATTTCCTGCCCCCACCCTCATCCCTCTTCATCAACGGGGGAAAAGCAGTTCAGCCATGTTTTCTTCACCCTTCCCTTCCCCAATAATGACTAAGCAGTACAGTCTAAGCAAGTCAAGACTCCCGGTCGGACGGCGCCATTTGTGTACAAGGTGGTTTTAGTGGTACCCCCAGGGGCTTGGACCGGCAGGCAGTTGGGTGAGTGGTGGACGGCTGGCTGGTATGAGGGTGGGCTGCGTTGGGGAAACAGACAAACGGGCCTGGCATTCTGCATGGGCAGAGCAGGCGACAGGACTGTCAGGGAAGGATCCCCTCCTTCCCCCAGTCTCCAGCCTCCCCAGATCTGCAAAAACACCAACATAAACCTTCTCTACCTTTTTCCAGTGCCCAGTATGTCTTTAACAGGGGACAAAGCCTTTCATTCCACAGTGAAGGGGAAGGATTAAAATGCAGACACCCCTGGGAGAGGTAACAACAACAAAGGGGCTCGAATTAGTGTCTGTGGGTCAGGGATCTTGTATGTATCACAGATTCCACACGGAGGCTTTGCTGCCTGCCAAGTCAAATTCAAATTCCTTTGTGTGGCATTCAAGGCCTTCCACAATCTGGCACCGTCCTGCCTTTCTAGCCTGATCTCAGATACTTTCCTACGTTCTATGTCCCTGCCAAGCTGGACCGCTCCTTCCCTGCAGTGTGCCCTCTGCTGTCCAGCTCCTCTGCCTCTGGCCCTGCTGCTCCCTGTGCCTGCAAAGTCCTCCACCCCCTCCGCTCCGCCCTGCCTTGAAGCACACCCCCAGCGCTCCCTTTCCCATGAAGCCCCATCAGGAACAACCTTCCCCCTTGGACCTCACATAGAGCTTTGCTCTGCCCTCTCTACTGCCTTTATTCCATAATGCCACAGCTATTTATTGGCGCACCTTATCCCCTCTCCTGGAATAGAAGCTCCATTACTGCAGAGAACACGTCTTATGTTAGCTCTCTACAGCCCAGCACCCAGCGAGGTACAGACCCTTAATAAGGGTTTGATGAGTTGACCTGAATCAGCTGGAAAGCCTGGGAGCTAGAAGTGTACAACACTTCCCTACAACGTCTCCCCCAACAGACATCTGAGGGCTTGACTTCTAATCCAGATTGGTTAGAGGTAGCTGGTGGCGCAGTGGATAGAGCGCTAGGCCTGCAGTCAGGAAGACGTGAGCTCAAATGCAGCTTCAGACACTGACTAGCCGGGTGACCCTGGGCGAACCGTTTAATCTCTTGCTTGCCTCAGTTTCCTCAACTGTAAAACAGAGGTAATACCTTCCTTCTGGAGTTGTAAGTTTAAAATGAGAAAATACTGTAAAGTGCTTAGCATAGTGTTTGGCACAGAGTAGACACTTAATAATTCCTTCCTCCCTTCCCTCCCTCCCTGCCTTCCTCCTTCCCTTCTCTTTCTTCCTTCCTTTCCCCCTTTTCTTCTTTTCCTTCCCCCTACTCCCCTTCTCTTTCTCTCTGCCTTCCTCCTTTCCTTTTTTCCCTTCTCTTCCTCCCTCCCTCCCCTTTCCTTCCTCCTCTTCCTCCCATTCAGGGTTATCCTGGCACCATCTTCTTTTCTAATTAAAGGGGCCATCAGCACCACAGCCAGACTTCCTTTCTGCTCCTCGCTTTCTCCTCCAGTCACCAAGAGCTACCTGAAATGCCAAGCGTGACTGTTCTCTCTGCCCACACTGTGGTGAACACCACCATACTGACGTGACTTTCAGAAACCTTACCACACTCACTCTATCCTGTTCTCATTTTTGAGGCATCAGGCAAACAGCCACCGGAGAAAGACAGCGGGGGAGGGGAGGGGAAGGGGAGCCCCAGCCCTCAGGAAGGATGAACTCTACGGCAGAGGGTACAAGCCTGAGAGGCAGCTGGGGCAGGGCGCTCCTGGTGCAGCTATGCTCACCGTGCCCGGGGTCCAACCTGCGCCTAAGCTGAAGGGCCACAATTCTACATCACAAAAATCGGGGGGTTCAGTGCCTGCTGGGCTGGGGGCGCAGGGCGTCCAAATGACTGAAGCACACAAGCCCCCACCCCAAAAAGGCTCACAAGCACTTGCTCCTGCCCTTTCAGAATGGAAAGTCCTCTGTCCTTTGCGACCCCTTCCCAGCCCAGTCCTTCCTACCATTCTGATTTCCTTAGGTCTTATAGCCCGCTCTGCCCACACACTCCAGCATCCAGGGCCCTGCCTTGTCTGTTGTCCTTTACACACCATCCGCTACCTCCCAGTTCTGCGTCTTTGCCCTGACTGTCCCCCACACCTGGAATGCTTTCCTTCCTCACAACTCTGCCTCTCCTCTGCCTTTCTTCAAGAAAGGGAGGAAGAAAACAAGCATCTACTGCACACCTACTATGTGCCAGATATCATGCTGGGTGCTTTAAAAATATCCTCTCATTTGATCCTCACAACCACTCTGGAAGGGAGGTGCTTTTAGTATCCCCATTTTACAGATGAGGAAACTGAGGCAGACAGAGGTTAAGTGCCTCACCCCAGGGTCCCACAGCTAATAAGTGTCTGAGCCTGGATTTGAACTCAGGTCTTCCTGATTCTAGGCCCATAATTCTACCCACTGCACCACCTAGCTGCCCCAGACTCAGCTCAAACACAGTCTTCTGCAGGAAGCCAGCTCCAAACGCTTTCTCTCTGAGCTTACTTTCCATCTACGGCCCACACCTCCTTGGACAAACTTACGTGCACGCTCTCTCTCCCACCTGACTGAGCTCCCACTCCTACGGGGCAGGGCCAGGGATCAGGTCTTTCTTTGCATCTTCCCCACCCCCCAGCCCGGTAAGAAATGCCTGCTGATCGACTAAGACAGAAGTAGAGAAACAACATGTTTCCTGTTCCACACTGAAGATTATCCCAAGGGCTTAGAAGGGAATGAATTAAAACCGAAGTAAAAAGCCCTAAACCTGGAGTAAACCACCAGCAGCAGCAAACCACTAAAACCTAGATTCTTCTTACATAAAACCTTATAAAATAAGCCTCAGTGTGTGTACGCATGTGTACACACATGTGCATATGTGTGTATAACACATGTGTACATTCACATGTATGTGCGCCTGTGTGTATATCTACAGCTTTACTGCTTAGACTACGGACATGGGCTAATTCAAATTCTCAGACCTAATGACATCAATCAGGTGTTTTCTTCCAGACTGGATACTCGGATTCACTCTCATTATGTAGCCCAAAAGGGCCAAAATTTTAGGGTTGTTTCCCCAAAGCCCTGAAGGGGGCCACAGGCCTCAGTGAAGATCTGACCCAGTCACTCCTTCATGGAATACACATTCCATCCTCTGTCACCTGCATGTACCCACTCATACTGCCTGATGATAACCAAAGGAGAAAACTGCTTTACTGTTTCACGTGGTTTGGGACGCTCTTTTCATCGGAATCCAACGGCAGTGATGGGGAGTGCAAGGAGGGTGTTCTGGACAGCTACAGTCAGTCACTAAAACGAGAAGCTGCTTTCCAGTCTCTTAATGCCAAACCAGGGGTGACAAGAGGAAGGTGGGCGATGGTCCAGGTGCGACGACAATAAAAAATCACCATGTATTCATGTTGAGTTTTTCCCCCCCCCGATAGGTTTACAGTGCTTTATGAATAAGATTTAATTGGTACTCCAGGCAGAGCTGGGTCTAAAAAGAGGGCAGAGAACTTTATTGAGAAAGAAATAAGGCAGAAGGAGATCAAAGGGCCTGCTCCAGATGGTGAAACCAAGAGAAGACTACAGACTTGTGTTCATCAAACTCAAGTCAGATTCCACTGGGGAGAGCTGTGGGGTGGGGATGGGCCAAGGCTGGGGGCGTGGCCTTGAAAGCATCTGGATGTTTCTTCCTACAAAAGAAGGAAGTCATTCTCAAGGCTGTCCTCATTAGTGGTGACTGAAAACTAGGAGACTGATGGGTACATGGGCCTGGCCTCTCTTGGAGGCCTATGTACACTTCTGAGGTCAGTCCTATGCCCATCTTCCTGCCTTTCCTTGGAGGGGCTGCATGGGCTAAAATAAGGCATCCAGGGGCAGGGTGGGTCAAATCCTGCGGTGCAAATGTTACTGCAGGGGTACAGTCAGTGGGGAGATCCACAGAAAGGGGGGCTGAGTGGGTAATGTTCCTAAACAGGTAAGGAAAGGAGCAGGAAGAGGTTATAACTTTCTGGAGAGCAGAGCACAGGTCTTATCTTAGTTCTGCATCTGTAGCACAGTGTCATGCAGATGCTTCCAATGAAAGGATTCATAATTGTTTTGCTGTGGGCATACCCTTCATTGTTATAGATGGCAGCCCATGTCAGTAGAATGTATCTACTCCCCCCTGCTCCCCCCCAAAAAAGGTTAATTCCTTATACCCACCT